TCGGTGCGAGAACGCAACCTTGTTTCACACCATTGGTTATTGGGAAAGGCTCAGAGAGTGCATCACCATACCTGACTTGGCCTTGCTGATCCTCATGTAACAGAATAATCATTTTCAGGAACTTGGGGGGACAACCTAATCGTTCTAAGATCAGCCACAAGCCTTTCCTGCTCACAGTGTCAAAAGCTTTGGTGAGGTCAACGAAAGTTACGTATAACCCCTTATTCTGTTCTCTACACTTTTTCTGTTCTCTACACTATTTTACGCATCAGTATAAGAAGGACATAAAACTACCAGTGTGTGTCCAGAGGATGGGGGACCAAGGTGGTGAAGGGTCTCAATGGCGAGACATAGGCAAAGTGGCTGAGGTCACAAATGTTCAGCTTGGAGAAAAGAAGGGTGAGGGGTACCCTCATGATGGTCCACAGGTCCATAATAGGGTCAATAGAGAGGGAGGTGACCAGCAACAGAGCATGAAGAAATGAAATGAACCTGTGTCAGGGAAGTAACTGGACATTAGGAAAAGGTTCTTCACTCAAAGGGTGTTTGATCACTGGAGCAGGATCCCCTAGGAAGTGCTCACAGCACCAAGCCTGTCAAGAGTTCAGAGCATCTGGATGATGGTCTTAATCCTATGATTTAGTTTTAAGTAGTCAACCAAGAAAAGAGTTGGACTTGATAGTACACATGGGTCCTTCCAGTTTGAGCTATTAAATAATTTAATGATAATAATCTCAGGGCCATAAAAGGCTAGGAAATTATTTTCCTGAGGCACCAGCAGAGCCCAACAATCATGAGGAGCAGGATGCCAGCAGTCGCCCAGAACTGCCAGTGCTTCAAGGCAGCAAAGAGCAGGGCTCCCAGGCCACACGACTCTGCTGGCTTAATTATCCTACCGTCTCTTTAGTCTGTGAATAATTATCTTCATTATGGCATGTTCAGTGGCTATGGCCATTGTCTACTATTTGGACTTGAGTGAAGCATTTGACACTGTCTTCCACAGCACTCCCCTGGAGAAATTGGCTGCTTATGGCCTGCATAGGTGGATTCTTTGCTGGGTTGGAAACTGGCTGGATGGCAGAGCCCAAAGAGTGGTGGTAAATGGTATCACATCTCATTGGCGACTGGTCACTAGTGGTGGCCCCCAGGGCTCAGTTAGGGCCAGTGTTGTTTAGTATCTTCACTGATGATCTGGATGAGTGGATCAAGTGCACCCTCAGCAAACTTGAGTATGACACCAAGTTGGCTGGGAGTGTTGATCTGCTGAAGAAAAAAAAGGCTCTGCAGAGGGATCTGGACAGGCTGTGGCCAATGCTATGAGGCTCAACAAGGCAAAGTGCTAGGTCCTACATTTGGGCCACAACAACCCCATGCAATTGATTCAGAGAAGTCTCCAGGAACTCGCCAACACAGTTTTAAGTTGACAAGCAGGTATTCTTTATTGCGGCGCCAGGAGACATGGAGGATCACTCCTCCAAGAGTGTCTCATCCAAGCATCAACCAGGCTGTGATTATATTGTCCTTAAACATACATATTAATTAGATTACATACATTACATCACATCACACTTTTAGAGAATGCCTCCTGTATGCACATAAAAATGTGGTAGTGGGCTTTCGGACCCCTGGTGGTTATTTCTTCTTTACTCTGTGTTAGGACTGTTGTCGTATCAGACATACCAGTAACCATCAGGCCGTTCTGGCAAAGCTTATCTTAGTAATTTCCTTTTCTCTATAGTGGCTAACAAAGCCTAACATCCCTGAGGTTATTCATTTACAACCCTATTCATCAATCAACCCCATTCTTCACAATGCTACTGGCTTGGGGAAGAGTGGCTGGAAAGCTGCTTGGTAGAAAGGGACCTGGGGATGCTGATGGACGGCCAGTGAACATGAGCCAGCTTATGCCCAGGCAGCCAAGAAGGCCAGCACCATCCTGGCCTGTATCAGCAATAGCGTAGCCAGCAGGACCAGGGCAGTGATCATCCCCCTGTACTTGGCACTGGTGAGGCCACACCTCAAATCCTGTGCTCAGTTCTGGGCCCCTCACTACAAGAAAGACATTGAGGTGCTGGAGTGGGTCCAGAGCAGGGCAGTGAATCTGGTGAAGGGTCTGGATAGTAAGTCTTATGAGGAATGGCTGAGGGAACTGGGGTCGTTTAGTCTGGAGAAGAAAAGGCTCAAGGGGAACCTTACTGCTCTCTACAATTACCCGAAAGGAGGTTGTAGTTGATGTGGGGGTAGGTCTCTTCTCCCAAGGAAGAAGTGGTAGGACAAGAGGTAACAGCCTCAAGCTGCGCGAGGGGAGGTGTAGATGAAGCACTCAGTGACATGGTTTAGTGGAGGTCTTGGCAGTCCTGGAGTAATGGTTGGACTTGAGGATCTCAAAGGTCTTTTCCAACCTAGTTGATTCTTTATTATTTTTTTTATTATAGTGCCCCACTACTGGAGAATCCACCACTTCCTGGGAATATTATTCCAGTAGCCAATTTGTGAAAAAAAATCCACTTGTGTCCAATTGGAATGTCTCCAGGAGAACTTGGAAAATTTTGTGATCATTTCCCTACAGAAAACCCAAATAGAGAAAGGATTCTCAAATGCAGTTCCTGGCTCAGACAGGTGTAATTCCAGCTGAGCATGTGTCCTTGGTACATTGGGGTATTGCTCAAACGTGGCAGACTTAAGGCTCCATTTTGAGAATGGCATTTTAAACATATTGTCAGGCACCATTGTATCCATATGCTTTAAAGTTCGGCTGCATTTACATATTTTAAATGGCATAAAATACTAACCAGAAAGAAAAAAACAAGCCCAACAAAAAAACCCAACAAAATTTAAAACATGAAACTACACAAAATCATAAGGCCAATTTGAACTCAGAATGTTTAATTGCTACAGGCATTTGTTCATTTATTTTCTCATGTGTCAGCATCCTCTGCTGCTGCCTTGGCAATGATTTCTCCTCCCCCAGAACCCACTGGTTGTGTGCTGGTCCCGTCACCGTTTCTGCATCTTACATCTCCACTACAGCCTTCTCGCTCCTTAGTTTTCCTCTCCAAGGACAGAGATGGCTGATGGGGTTGGAAAATGGTGGTGGGTCACATGAAGATTGCATGGGTTCGTATTGGGTCACATGGTAGAATCTGAAGAGGAGATATAACAGCTTTATGAGGGATGTAAGAGCTTTGCAAGGAATCTCCTCCGAGTTTGTCACTGCAGAGTTCCTTCCCTTTCACACCTTTCTTGCAATCTCCTGCTTGGATTCCTTGCATGTCTTCCTGATATACAGAGCCCATCCAGGATGCCCCATTTGCTTCAGCTCCTCCAGTCCGCACTCTTGCTCCACACACAGACTGGACCTTCTCTTCTCAGCTGTACACTCTTGAACCCACTTTGTGACCCAGGTGACTTCAGGGAGACCAGAAGGAGGGAACCAACAAGGCTGTGACAGGAGCAGAGAAGAAAGTCACTATGGAGAGCTGCTCCTCCAACAATGGGCTAGCACAGAGGTTTGCTCAATGGCGGCAGGGACAACTTTTGGTGTCTCACATCACTCCCACTCATCATCTGACTCTCCCACACACCTCCACCTTCACAGATCTTAAATGGGAAGTGTGGATGTGGGACAAACAGTGCAGCCACGGAGTATGTGAGAAGCATAGCACCTACAAACAGTTACAGTGGCTCACAGCTCAGGCAGTTTGGGTTCAGTGGCAACAGACCACATCAGCATCACAACAGCCTACCTTGAAATCCACCTTTCGCTTCATAGTGCCCTTGTCTTCCTACGTGTATGACGTTAGGCTCTTTGGCTTGCTCTCTGGCAATGAGTGAATGTCTAGACCCCAATCACCAGTTAGTAGTTTTTCGATACTTATTTTGCCTCCCTGAAGAAGAAATGGATCCCATGCAGTTGAGATAAATACCCTGTGCCAGCTCTTTTGGAGACATGGCCCACAGCTGCATTTCTGGACACGCATAAGAATTGCCTGAAGGGCAGCTGATTTTACAGGTGTGGTTATTGGGGGAAAATGATATAGGGAATACTGGTAGGGGAAAGGGGCTGGTTATTGGGAGCAGAATAAATGCTACATTAGGAATCTCATTCTCAAGCAATCCCGAAAGTTCATTACACTAGCCATTACCTGCTATAAACTCCCTGATAAAGTTGCAGGGCAACACAGATGGCAAGCAGTATTATTTAGAACACCCTTTATTGATGAAGGTCTTACTATTAAGCTCTTAGGCTCATATTATGAAGCTTTGGCTTATAGAGACAGGATGAGAGGAGGGGTTTTTCAGCCTGGAGAAATAGAAAGCTCCAGGGAGACCTTAGAGCACCCTTCCAAGTGCATGAAGAGGCTAAAAGGCGGCTGGAGAGAGACTTTTGACAAGGGCATTAACAGATGGGACAAGTGGGAATGACTTTAAACTGACGGAGGGGAGTTTGAGATACTGGGACAACATTCTCCCTGTGAGGGTGCTGAGGCACTGGCACAGGCTGCCCAAAGAAGCTGTGGCTGCCCCATCCCTGGCAGTGTTCAAGGCCCGGTTAGAAAAGGCTTGGAGCAGCCCGCTCTAGTGGAAGCTGTCCCTGCCCGTGGCAGGGGTTGGAGCTGGATGAGCTTTAAGGTCCCTTCCAACCCAAACCATTCTGTGGTTCTGTGATTCCAGCACGCGATCGCTTCAGCGTGCCTTTACGCTCGATCAGTTCCCGGCACCGAGGCGCCGCCGCCATCGCGCTCGGCCAGGAGGAGCCGCAGAAACTGGGTCCCCCCAAACCAAGAGCCGCTCTCGGCCCCCGCTCCTCTCCCCGCCGGCTGCTCCAGGGGCCTCATTCCTCGGGTGACCCCTGCCCGCCAAAGGGGCGGAGGTGAGGGAGGGCCGCACCACGCCCGCCGCCGGGACACTCTCGGTGCCCTCGGAGCGCGGCAGAGCAAGCACAGGCGCGGCGGCGAGCGTGCGGACAGGCGCCAGGGGCAGCCCGTCGCGCCGGGGAGGAGGAAGGGCCCGCCCCGCCGCGCCGCGCTGGAGAAAGGCCCTGCCGCGTCGCTGTTGGAGGAGTAAGGAGGGCGCGATGCCGCTGTACGAGGGCCTGGGCAGCGGCGGCGAGAAGACCGCCGTGGTGATAGACCTGGGCGAGGCCTTCACCAAGTAAGTAGTGCGGCAGCCGCTCCGCCTGCCCCTTTTCTGTCGCGACAGGCTTTGCCAGTGTCGCGGCTACGGGGCGGGCGTGCCGTCGGGATGAATAATCGTGTGTGGCGGTTTTTCTCCTCCCCCTCCTACTGTGGTGGTACAAAGCCGACAAAATCAGCTTTATTTTCTAGTCTCGTGTTTCAGATAAAACAGAACGGGTGTAACTGCAGGTGGAAACAGAAGTGTTCAGTATTTAGCCATTTATCTCATGAGCCAGAAATGTACCCGTGCCTCTGCCCGCAGCACGTCAGAATATCCCGTTGCGTTAGAAACCCCCATCTTCCTCCACACTCCTGTCCTAGTCCGTGCACCCCTCGTGGAAAAGGGGCTGTTTACGCAATCCCTAAGCAATACGGCCCCACGTCCAGGGTATACTCTGGAAATGCTGCCTGGGTTTCAGTGGCCTGTTTGGGGAAGTGGCCTGCACACAAAAAAAAAAACCACTGTCTTGCAACAGAAGTGATTCTCCCCTTCTATTCTGCTCTTGTGAGACCCCACAGGCAATACTGTGTCATGCTCTGGGGTCACCAACACAAGAAGGACGTGGAGCTGTTGCAGCGAGTCTAAATGAGGGCACAGAGGTGCTCAGAGGGCTGGAGCACCTCTGCTCTGGAGACGGCATGTTTGGTTGTTCAGCTTAGAGAAAAGAAAGCTCTAGGGAGGCCTTAGAGCACGCTTTCAGTGTCCAGAGGTGCTAAAGGAAAGTTGGAGGGGGCTTTTAACAAAGGAATGTAGGGATAGGACAAGGAGGAATGACTTTAAACTGACAGAGGGGAGACTGGGATACCAGAAAGTTCTTCCCTGTGAAGGTGGTGAGACAATGGCACAGGGTGCCCAGGAAAGCTGGGGCTGCCCCATCTCTGGCAGTGTTAAAGGCCAGGTTGGATGGGACTTGGAACAACCTGGTCTAGTGAAAGGTGTTCCCGCTTGTGGCGGGGGTAGGAACTGCATGAGCTTTAATGGCCTTTCTGACACAAACCATTCTATTATTCTATGTACGCCACTTTTACTAGGCTAGGCTCATGCCTCTGGCTGTGTCTGTGTGGGTGCATTTACCTGCTTGGAGCCCTGAGGATGCCTCTGCTTGTTGAAAGAGGCAGGAGTTGAAGGAACAGGGTTTCTTTTCCCAACTTGTTTTTGTATTGTTTTTTTTGCCTTTTTTTCCAAGTGCAGTCCAGCAGGCAGGCTTTCTATGTGAAAATTATTGTGATGTGGTTATGGAGAGGATTTACCAAAGCTCTCACGGATGGAAACAATTTGATGATTGGCTTTTTGTGGATTTATGTTGTGTTGCCTGTCATGGGCTTTCTTCCAGTTTTGGGGCACTTGTGAGGTTTTATCTCATAGGCATTATTTGTTTAATAAATGGTTTTATGGAATTTCCCCTGAATAGTGTGGGTTTAGGGTCTGTTTCCAGCCTTCATTCTTGTAGGAGAGATAGCAACTTAATTATATGAGAGACATACGTCCTTTTCCAAATAAGGCTGAAATTAACCAAAAGTTCAAAAGCTGTCAGGATGACAGGTGAGGACAACTGTGTATACACATATGCAGGCTTCATTTGGGATTCCAAAGGAAAAAAGTTGAATTCTAAATTATATCTGGTTTAAGATTTTTTACAGACAGCAGCCAAATACCAAAATAAATAACCTTTAGCATTTAAAGTACTCCAACTCCAGAGGCCTGATAGTTTTCTGTTAGTAGTCGTCTTCTGAGATTTGTGCTTAATGGATGTGGCAGTGACGAAACAAATGTTAAGTGCTGCATTTCTTCAAATCAGACATTGAATTTCTGTTCTTTTTAATTTACCTTCTTCAGTCCCTGGTTCTGTGTCTTTTAAGGTGAAGTCACTTTATGAAAACCAGATGGGTTTCTGAAAAATTTGTTTTGGGATTGCTGCTATTTTGATGATGTTGCATCAATGCTGGATGCAGAGCCCTCATGTTTTGTCAGGAGGCCTGGAGTAGTAACCAGTCATCCTGAGGCAGTAATGCCTTAAATCACCCAGGACGCTTGTGAAGGGAATGCATTTCAAAGCTGGAAATAGGGAAAAAGTATCAGTTGCTGGTCAGCAGTGAAATAGGCCACAGGACCCGCATGATCGTGATCATCGTGTCTTTGTCTTTTGTTTCTTCTAAATAAGCATCTTAGAAAAATAGGGATTTAAAGAGGACAGGATAACTTCATCTCGCCTGTGAAAACTGGGCCTGTGTGGAGGATACAGGAAGGTATTTCTTTGGAAATTTAACAGGCAATAAGGAAGGTTGCATGTGGATTATTACCAGCTGTATTCAGTGAAAAGTAGGAAGCACATCAGAATTGAGCACTACAGTCCTTACGGAAGTGAAGAAAAATTGTTTTGTTTAGTGCAGCTGAGGGGCAGTCAGCAAGAAGGTACAAAATCTTTCTTACACAAAATGGCTAGATAGAAAAGCTGTGTGCAAAACACCTCTTTGCAGTCACAGAAGTATGCCTAATTAATTACTCTGTGATGGTTCCTAGGCCCACAGTGTTAAATGGTGACTTCAGATGGTAAGGTTTTCTACATTTTCTTTTAGGTGTGGTTTTGCAGGAGAAACAGGGCCAAGATGCATTATTCCTACTGAAATAAAGAAACCTGATGTCACAAAGGTAAGCTATTTTGTCTGAACTGTTTTACCTTTATCACATTTGGTATGTTCCGGTATAGAAGGAATTTGCAGATGTGTTTTCTGTCCTTCAGAAGCTATTTTTCATTATCTTATAAGTGCTGCTATTCTAACTAGATACCATATAAGTGTATCATCATTGGTACTCATCAGCCATGCATGTTTGGGGCTTTTATTGAAAAATTTCTTTGCCTGGCTATGTTTTGTTTGCCTTTTTTCATTTCATTAGAGGATGGCAGCTTTGGAAAACTGGTAACTTACTACAACATTAGGACAGAAAATTAGCATGAATAAACTTTGGACTTTAGTAATAGGGTGAATTTATAAGACACATTGTTATGGTCATAGTGCAAATCAGGCAAGATTGAGTACTTGTTTATATGTGTCAGATTATATATGTTCAGATGTAATTTATCATATAAATATTTATATCTCATGTATATGTTTATATAATCACTGCCTCATGTTTAAGATGACTGTGGATATTTTTACAGCCTATCAGAGTTGTTCAGTATAATATTAATACAGAAGAGCTCTATTCATATCTGAAGGAATTTATCCATATGCTGTATTTCAGGTAAGTGATGCTTGGATGTTAGTTACTCAAACCTCCTGCGAATCTTTTCTGAGTACATTGAGAGGTGTTAGAGATGTGATATTTAGTGAAGACTGCTGTCTTGTTGAATAAGATATCAGGTTAGATACAAGGAAGAAGTTCTTTACTGTGGGGGTGGTGAGGCACTGGAACAGGTTGCCCAAAGAAGTGGTAAATGCTTCATCCCTGGCAGTGTTCAAGGCCAGGTTGGACAGAACCTTGGGCGACATGGTCTAGGGTAAGGTGTCCATGCCCATGTTGTTTTGTTACATTGATTTAGAAATGTATAACGAATATTCAGAACTACAGCCTGCTGGCAGATAACTCTAACTTTTCTGTAACTCAGTTCACTAACTTTCTTTTAGGAAGGTGTAGTTTTTAAATTTGGGAAAAAGACTTTGGGGTCTGCTGTTGAAAATGCTATTTACATGTGAGTGTCTACGTTTTTTGAGGATAATGCAATATGAAAATAAAGTAGGTCTCATAATATAAGCTTAAACTTACCGTTTTTGTTTTACTTGCCTTGCTTTTTTTAGACATCTGCTGGTGAATCCCAGAGACCGTCGTGTTGTGATCATAGAATCTGTCTTGTGCCCTTCACACTTCAGAGACACACTCACAAGAGTCCTGTTCAAGCATTTTGAGGTACGTGTTTTACCTAACTACTCCATGGGTTCAGCGTAGCACTTGCCAGTAGAAATTCTACTTGCAGTCAGTACCGGGTGTGGACAAGGAAATGAAAATACCGCAGAAAGAATGAGAGAAGCATAAAGAAGATGGAACAAAAAAAAAAAAAGCTGATAGATGTTTGGGGGAGTAGGGCTTGGAAATTGGACAAAAGGCATTTTTGTCTCATTCTGACTTTTATGAGGACACAAAACAGGAGCTAGTAACAACAATCCAAAAGGTTTCTCTTTGTACAAAAATACAGCTGACATCTCACTGTTCCAGACAGATCCAATAATCCCAATTGAGCACTGCCTGAAGCCAGAATCTCTATTTAAACACTCATTAGTGCTCTGTCAGCAAATCTCATGCCTTCTACCAGAGTCAGTATTTTCATCTATTACATCATCTAACCTCTAGCTCTGCTCATTTAGATAAGAGTTTACCTGAAATTTATTATCTTCTCTGCTTAAATCAGTCCTTTTGGAAGAAAAATCTGGACCTAATTCTTGCTTAGTTCTAATGGGAAATGTTTGGGAAGGTGATTCGATATTGCTCTTCAATTCAGACTCAACAAATGTTAAGATTCTTCTATAAAAATGATGAAACTGATTTGTCTGGAGTACTTCTTCACTGTGCTTCCACAACACAGTTTACCAGCTAGTCTTGAACTTCTGCATAATCCTTTTCTACTACTACCAATAAAATCGTCTGATGAAATTGCTGGAAGATTGGGTGGTTTCGTTTTGGTGGTTTTGCTTTTTTTAAATCTAGTTCCGTTACAGAAAAAAACCCATGTCTCAGATAAAGCACTCCCATGCAAAAGTGGTTGTAAAAAATGACAGTGAGAGTAGTAAAATACTGGAGCAGGTTGCCCAGAGGGGTGGTAGGTGTTCCATACCTGGAGACATTCAAGGCCAGACTGGATGTGGTTCTGAGCAACCTGATCTAGTTGAAGATGTCCCTGCTCATTGCAGGGGGATTGGACTAGATGACCTTTGGAGGTCCCTTCCAACCTAAACTGTTCTGTGATTCTACTTGGAAAGTCATATTTTGATGGATAAACTTTGTAACTTGCTAAGAAGCCAGCTAATACTGATGTGAAGTTAGTTCTCTTTGGCTAGTATTTCCATTTAGTGCAAAGAATAAGAGTGGCATATCAATACATGGTCAATATTATAACTTGTGTCTCTGGGCTAAGTATCAGTAACGTTGCCCTTAAATGCAGGATTTATTGAAACTGCTTCTACAATTCACACTTCAAGATGTTCCCTTACGGGAACCATCGCTATCTAGGGTATGTGATTTATGGAACTGTGGGAGAAGGAAGTAATTCTTGTGTAATTTTGACTTGAGTTTCCACATTGCTGTTTCTAGAGTGTTGTAAATAGCCTCTTCTGTGAGTTTGTGTGCAACAGTACGTTGTCGTAAGGTTTTGTGGCACCTTTGTTCACATTTTCCTGTCATTATACGACATTTCAAGTAGCTGTGCTTTTGTTTCTTAAATTTATTTTCAATGACAATAGGAAACATGATCTATGAGTTCAGATAAGTTCTGTAGTTGACACCCGCTTTTCTTAGAAGTCCGTTCCAAGATTCATTATTACTGAAGTAACTGGTATTTACCACAAAGAAGGTGAATATAGAATTTAGAATCCCGTAGTATTTTATTCATTACTACACTCTCTTAAATGCTGAATTAGAAACGGGCCTCAAGGTGCAGTTGTTTGTGTTTTGCTTTTAATATGACATTTAGAGAAAGCATCAGTACTTTTGAGTGTTGTCTTTTTTTTCTACCCCCACCCTTCCATTAATTCTTTTTTGGTTTCCATGTAGGTACCTTCAGTTTTGTTTGCTCCAAGTCATCTAATGTCTCTCCTGACACTTGGGATCAATTCTGCCATGGTTCTAGATTGTGGGTACACAGAAAGTTTGGTGCTGCCTGTATCCTTTAATAATACAGAAACAAAATTTTCAGCAACAAGGCTGTCATGACAATATGATAGTTTTATAGACTTAAAGTGTCCAAAAAGGTAATAGGAACAGATCAACCAGTGTGGCTTTTGACTATAGTATGCCATGACTTGGGGAGTCTCTTCACATCTGACAGGTGAAATCTGTGTTCCCTTGAAACTTGGGCCCACTGTAGGAGAGGAATTGGTTTGAGACCATCTTAAAAATCTGAACGTGCACAAGCCCATGGGTCCTGATGAAATCCATCCGCGGGTCCTGAAGGAGCTGGGAAATGAAGTTGCTATGCTGCTGACCGTCATATTTTAAAAATCATGGCAGTCATGATTTCCCGACGACTGGAAAAAGGGAAATATAACCCCCATTTTCAAGAAGGGGAAAATGGATGACCCGGGGAATTACAGACCAGTCAGTCTCACCTCTGTTCCTGGCAAAATCTTAGATCAGATTCTCCTGGAAGGCATGCTAAGGCACATGAAAAACAACAAGGTGCTTGGTGACAGCCAGCATGGCTTCACTAAGGGGAAATCCTGCCTGACCAATTTGGTGGCCTTCTGTGATGGGGCTACAGAACTGATGGACAGCGGTAAAGCAGTTGATGTCATCTACCTGGACTTGTGTAAAGCGTTTGACATTGTCCCACACGACATTCTTGTCTCTAAATTGGAGAGACATCAATTTGATGAATGGACCACTTGGTGGATAAAGAACTGGCTGGATGGCCGCACACAAAGAGTTGTGGTCAATGGCTCAATGTCTGGCTGGAGACCAGTAACGAGTGGTGTCCCTCAGGGATCCGTGTTGGGACCGGTCTTGTTCAACATCTTCGTCACTGACATGGACAGTGGGATTGAGTGCGCCCTCAGAAAGTTTGCCGATGACACCAAGCTGTGTGGTTCGGTTGATACGCTGGAGGGAAGGAATGCCATCCAGAGGGACTTTGACACCCTTGTGAGGTGGGCTGATGCCAACCTCATGAAGTTTAACCATGACAAGTGCAAGGTCCTACACCTGGGTTGGAGCAATCCCAGGCACAGCTACAGGCTGGGCAGAGAAGAGATTCAGAGCAGCCCTGCGGAGAAGGACTTGGGGGTGCTGGTCGATGAGAAAATGAACATGAGCCAGCAGTGTGCGCTTGCAGCCCAGAAAGCCAACCGTATCCTGGGCTGCATCAAAAGGAGTGTGACCAGCAGGTCGAAGGAGGTGATCCTGCCCCTTTATTCTGCTCTCGTGAGACCTCACTTGGAGTATTGTGTGCAGTTCTGGTATCCTCAACATAAAAAGGACATGGATCTGTTGGAACAAGTCCAGAGGAAGGCCACGAGAATGATCAGGGGACTGGAGCACCTCCCATATGAAAATAGGCTGAGAAAGTTGGGGCTGTTCAGCCTGGAGAAGAGAAGGCTGCGTGGAGACCTCATAGCAGCATTCCAGTATCTGAAGCGGGCATATAGGGATGCTGGGGAGGGACTCTTCATTAGGGACTGTAGTGGTAGGACAAGGGGTGATGGGTTAAAACTTAAACAGGGGAGGTTTAGATTGGATATAAGGAGGAAATTCTTTCCTGTTAGGGTGGTGAGGCACTGGAATGGGTTGCCCAGGGAGGTTGTGAATGCTCCATCCCTGGCAGTGTTCAAGGCCAGGTTGGATGAGGCCTTGGGGAATATGGTTTAGAGCGAGGTGTCCCTGACCGTGGCAGGGGGATTGGAACTTGATGATCTTAAGGTCCTTTCCAACCCTAACTATTCTGTGATTCTAACTTGGGAAGGGAGTTAGTCACTTCAGCCATTAGATACTAGAAATTAGTTTTGGAGAAAAGCACTTGTAGAGTATTTCCAATAGCTATTGCAAGTGATTGTTGAGGGGAAAAAGCATTTAGTTCCAGCACACCGAAAACGCAAAACAAATCTGGAGAATTTCCTGATCTTCCTGTAGATATATGAGGGAATTCCGATTCTGAGCTGCTGGGGTTCTCTTCCTCTGGGAGGAAAGGCTATACACAAGTAAGTTCACACTTACACATTCCAGGTTACTAATGATTTATTTGTGAAAGTTCATCTTTGACTAATGAGCAAAGATTCCTATTAAACATGACTTAAATCATAATTTGCTGTGACAGCATTTGATTTTTAAAGTAACCACTGTTTGGCTTTTGTTAATGTAGTAAAAGCTGTGTATTTAGAAGAATGTAACTGAAGGAAAAAATACTGTCCTTTCAGCATGATCCAGAGAATCAGCTTGAGTTAGTAGATGTCTTTAACTTATGTGCAATGTTTTAGGGAGCTGGAGTATCAGTTGTTGGAGCAGTGCACAGTTGATACAGGATTAGCCAAAGGACAAAGCCTTCCATCTGTGATGGGTAAGGTCTGTTTGATGTAGTCTGTGTGATGTGAACTTGCGAATAAAATGCATTTAGTATTCACCGCATCCTATGTGATCTACTTACATGGTTTTCTTTCTCAATGTTTAACAAGTATATTCTTTTTATGATAGGCCACTCATAGCAGCAGGTTTGAATGAAGACTGATAAAAGTTCAGTAGTATTATAATTCTTCAGTCTGTTTTGAGAGAAGACAAACTTTTTATTTCTGTTCTTAATGTTCTTTCTTCCTTAGAAGTCTTTAACAGCTGCTGTCAAAGTGAAACTTTAAAGTACTAGTTGTAATTCTTACATTTAGTATTTTAGTTTAGACTTTAGTTTAGACTTAGTTTAATTCTTTAATTCTCTTTCTACTTAAAAAGCTTTGGTTCTAAGTTATTTTTTTTATTTCAGGCTCAGTTCCAGAAGACATAGTAGAGGATATAAAAGGTAAAATTTTCTGTGTCATATATTAAGTTGTGCAGTAGAGTATGAGAATGACAAGTGTGCAGTACTCTACGTGTAGGAGTTATTTCATCTCTGCCATATTCCTCACTTACTTGAAGTGTTCTTCCTCTCTGAAAGCAAAACTAAACCCATTTTGAATTCCTCTTTCAAGTTCAGCCTGTGCATTGTTAAGATGTAACTCATAGACACATTTGATAGAGTAGCACAGAAAGAGTCTTACACTACTGTATATCCTGTGATCAGCAAGTCAGGTTAATTTAAACTCATAGTCTACATAGCACATGAATTCTGCCAAAGTGTAGAGACCATTTTTCTTTGCATTTATTTGATAATGTCCTGGATTAGCAAGGGCCTAAAGTGTGTATTCTTCTCTAAATTAAGCAGAATTATTGCCTGTTGATCATGAAGGGACCCAGCAAAGTCTCTCTTCTGCCCTTTCTTTTATTTAGTTCGCACTTGTTTTGTGAGCGATCTCCAACGTGGACTGAAAATCCAAGCAGCTAAATTCAACATTGATGGCACTGCTGAGGTGGGTGGAGAATGAAGCTTATCCTAGTCCTTTGAAGTGGATGTAGCCTTTTTGGCTTCTAAAATAATGTTCCTACATTTTTGTTTATAGCGTCCTTCACCACCTCCGGATGTGGACTATCCTTTAGACGGAGAAAAGATTCTGCATGTAGTTGGCCCTATCAGGTGAGAAATACCATAGCAGAGTGTTTATGAGAATAAACACTCCTAAAAGCTCTAAAAGCACATGAATCTTCATAAAATTAATTTTAATGAAACAGTTGCATATGCTTTTAATGTCTCTTAAATTAAGGCTTTATGCTGGTCACAGTGCAAACCTATATTAAGAGATGTCAGCTTCTTCAGAGAGCTCACACTAAAAGATAAGAACAGACAGACTGAGGGAGTAGTGGAAGCGGAAATGGAATATTAATGTATAATGATTAGATGGGTTCAGTAAAACGACTGAGGCGTTGTCTCCTCCCTGTTGGAACTGCTTCCTGCGTCATCTGTATGATAAAAGTAGTGATGATGCATTGTCAGGAGGAAGTCTGTAGTTATTCCGTGATTCTAGGATTTCTAGTTTGTGTTAGCTCACAGTGTAGTATTGCTTCTCATTAACACTTTACGTCCTTTTCATAGAGATTCCGTTGTCGAAATATTGTTTGAACAGGACAATGAAGAGACATCTGTGGCCACTTTGATCTTGGATTCGCTTGTTCAGGTATCTTTTTATTGTAAACAATTTCTTGAATGCCTCCAGCCTTGGAGAACATACAAATGATTCTTTCTAGAGTAACACCCTTGTGACTGCAGGTTGTGATTGGTTGAAAAAGTTGAGCACAGCATGACTCCTAGGGTTCTGCCACATGATGAATTTCTGTGGGGTACTAAGTCAGCATATGTCACACACTCTCGATTGCTTCCCTTCTCTTCGGTATACTGCATTGTGTCTAGGACTTCTCTAAGAAATATAGTACTCACCCCTCAGCAAAAGTAATACACTAGCTTGTGTTTATTTGGGGATGGAGCTCTCTGTGTGTAGTGATGAAAGACTAGCTAATACTTGGTGTCATAGGAATTATTCTGCTTAAACTGAAATGACACAGGTATTCTATTTCTCCTTTTTTCAAGGTGTTTTGCTCAGAGTTAGACTTTGAGTCCTGCAGACTGCTGGTTTGTCTAAGATGAAATAAAAATAATTTGGCTATCTCTATTACAGGCAGTACATTAGATCTATTGAGGAGAATTTTCCTGGCATATACAAACACCTCATTTCTTACCATATTTAGTAAAAAAAATGCATTAGAAAGCCATTGTAAATGGAAATTTTCATTATGTGGTGGTGGTTGCATGTTTAATCAAAGTTGACTTCCTGTAGTTATTGATTCCATTTAAATTAGTTTGCTGTGACATAATCTATTGGAGAGCTTGGATGACATGACAAACATTTCAATTAGAATTCCTTATGAAAACAAATTGTTTAACGAGAACTGTGCCTGGAGCCCTCATCTCTGTACTTCTGGGCATTTACCTTGCATCACTCTTTGTCCTGAGGAAGGACAAATGTGTAATTCACAAATGTTAAATAGCATCGAGTTATTTCTTCTGGACAAGAAGAAATATTTTTGGCATATTTTCTCCCAGAACTCGTGGGAATTACTGTCACCAGTGCCTCTGTCCTCTGTCATCTTGGCTTGTCTCAGCTGAAGAGCTTTAGAGAAACTCACAGCATGCCCATAAAAGCCTCAGCTGGGAAGTTCCTTAAGCCTGGTTTTCTTGGGAAGTGTGGATTAAAAATAATATGGGTTATGTTGCAGCTAAATATGCAAAAACAGCAGTTGACGTGTGCAGAAACACTGACTGAATTTCTAACAGACCTTTTTTTGTTTTATTCCTGTTTGCATTAGTGTCCGATAGACACCAGGAAGCAGCTGGCAGAGAACTTGGTAGTTATTGGTGGCACTGCTATGTTGCCAGGATTCCTTCACAGGCTCATGGCTGAAATCAGATACCTGGTAGAGAAACCAAAATACAAAGAAGCACTTGCCACTAAAACCTTCAGAATTCACACTCCACCTGCCAAACCCAACTGTGTGGCCTGGCTGGGAGGTAAGGATAAAAACAACTGTTAAGGAAAGGTACAAAGTGAAGACCAAACGTTCTAAGTGGGATTTGTAATGAATAAATAGCAGTAAAAGGTAGGTGATCTACTGAAATAAAGTTGCAGTGGAGCTCTGTGGAATCGTTATGCTCTTCTGGAAGCCTTAACCAGGTGACAGCAGTGATGAGCAATTTGAAAGGGATGTGTGGAAGAGGTGGTATTGATTCAAGTGCAGTGCAGGGCTGCCGTCATATGGTGGCACCAGTAAAGTAATTGGACAAAGCAGAGACCTGCGGTGTGTGGAAGGTCTGCTTATTGAAAAAGCAAATTTAATTACTGACCAACAAGCTGTGAGCTATAGAGGCCAGAGGCTGCTAACTCCCCATGCTGTCCACAAGTAATAAATACAACAACTTGCGATGGATTTTTTGGATGATGTACTGGCAAGTTAGGGGAAAAGAAAGGCTTTCTGTTGCTGTCCACTTTTCAGGAAGATTCTCAAGTTGATAAGAATTCATGCTTTTCTAAGCTTTTGGTTAATAAGCTGAGCCCATCTGGTCTGTAGGAAGAGCTGACTTTAAAGGTAGATTTTATATCTGTATAATTTGAAATGTAAATGGTAGATTTTATATCCATATAGTTTGAAATGTAAATATTTATAAACATTTACTTGGTTTAAAACTTTTTGAGTCTTACTTTTAGGATTAGCAAATAAGAGTGATTTATATGCACCAAGCTCTCTGATATGTTTTCCTCTATGGCAGTGCTAGTCAGCTGTTGCAGCCTCAATCGTCTCGCAGCTTGTGTAACTTTTTACTGGTATTGTGTGGCACCCTTTCTGGGGGAGAAGAACTTTCCTTAAACACAAGGTAGTTTGTTTGAAGTGCTTAAAACAAAAACTTCTAGGAAACTTTATTGTAAGAAGCTACTTTTGCTGTCAGCATAGACTAGATGGTTCTTGGTTTCAGGTATTTTCAGAGGACATAAATGGAAGCAATTTGAGACCAGCTGGGCTACTGAAAAGGAATGCGGCTATATCCTTTAATTCCTTTAATTACGGGGACAGAGCTGAAAAAAAACCAGTTGAGATTCTTTATGGGAAGTAGAAAAAGAAATTAAGTAAATCAAATTAATGCAACATTTCACCCTTGCCCCCCAATATTGTAGGAGCCATTTTTGGAGCACTTCAGGACATACTTGGGAGTCGGTCTGTGTCCAAAGAATATTACAGCCAGACAGGCCGCATACCTGACTGGTGCTGTCTTAATAATCCTCCACTGGAAATGATGTTTGATGTTGGAAAAGCACCCCCACCATTGATGAAGAGGGCTTTTTCTACTGAGAAATAAGAACCTACATGCTACACAAGGATTCTCCTCCTCTATTTCAAGTACATGTTTTGGGTTTTTTTGTATTAAGTAATCTGTGTGTAACACTATTAAATAGGAACAATGTGGATGTTTTCAGACAGTATATTGGTAGGTACTAACACTATGTAAAACCCTATCCATTTTAAAAACAACTCTGGCAACTACTATGCTGTTTAGTCCTGTTCTGGAGAAATTCTCTAGTGTCATGAGTTACAGCCTACTGAGTTGTTTGTTATTTATCTGTATAATAAATTACGTTGCTGAGAGTATTTGTTTTAAGATAGTTTTATTGTAAATATGCTTAGCAGAAAGAAGGACAGCCTACTGTGGAAACATCTGGAAGTTTTTCTGGCAAATTCTGTATTAAAATATTCCACCCTTGAATCACGTGTGAGGAAATGGTTTGGGTCTTTTAAGTGAAGGTGGTGGACGAGTATTACCCGTGAGCACAGTCCTGTTTTGAGAATTTTAACAGAGAACTCTTCTGCCTACAATTCTGATGCAGTACTGAGCTGAAAACTCACAGTATCTTTCCTCCAAGAAAGATATTAACCATGTAAGAATTATAAACAGAGATGCAGCCAAATTTTGACTCTTACTGAAATGTCAATTTTGGAAGTAATTTCTTTGCCCTCCTTCCCTCCATCAGAATTATTAACTCCATTGTCCTGCAGCAACAAGTAGCACATGAAAATGCAATGAAATCAAATACCTAAGAAAAAAAGCAAAAACGTACATGTGGATATTAACACTATATTTAGGAATTCTTTGCTAGTTAATAGGCTTTTAGAAATGCTGTTAACTTTACAATATTGAATTAGGAGCACTTCTATAGGAAAGCAAACACATAACACACAACACACTCTTTTGCTAGTGCTGCTGGTTTGGTTTGTTGTGATTCTTATTATCCTTCTGTAATACTGCTGTGAATTAACTCTGCACGCAGAGCTGTGGCTCCTGGTGAGCACTCCAGGCAGCATCAGTGCATGTCAGCAGTGTCATGTCTCCAGAGACAGATTTCCCATGGCCCAAAATACTTCTAAACTTGCTGCCAACGTGCTGCACATGACTCGTTGACTAAATGGTGACTCTTCTGGTATCTGCTGGTTACTGAGGTTTAAATCCTACTCTGAGGAATAATAGTTCATTTCAGATTTGGGGAAATATATATGTATAAAATTATTGGGAGGGGTGTTGTCTTTTATTGGCACAAACGTGCTTTTTGTGACTGCTTTTGCTGTGCTGTCTGCTAACTACCCGCTGTGGTTCCTGAAGCATGTTTCTTGGAAGTTAAACACGTATTTAAATAAGAATTCTTGTGGTGAACCTTAACAGGGGGCAGTGTGCTACATCACTGAAGTGCACTTTTGCACAATTTTGCCTTTGAGATATGCTTTACCTTAACACGTGGTGTTAGCACATGGTAGGAGATACTCCCTTTTGAGCTAAATTTCAGATTTAAACAAACAAGCAAAAAAACCCCAACGAAACAAAACACTGCTTGAAGTCTTAGAGTTAGTCTCAGGTGAGGCAGCTAGTTGCTAGCAGTGGTCTAATAGTATTGACATGATCGATTTCTCTCCTAGGTGCTGGCTGGTGCATTTTTTAATTGCCTTCTTCTTGCTTCAGGTGAGCTGCAGGGCTGCTAGCAGGGAGCAATCAAAATAGGCATAGCAGTGAGTTGTTCACATTTATTTTACAGTCCTGAATTGAGGTTAGTCTTCTAAGAGATCATGGAAAGGAAAAACCCTGTGCAGTGCATCTCTGTCCACGGGCATGCTTTGAGGCAGTCCATTCCCTCTGGGAGGTTTCTCGTGTGCTAAGATGCCAATAAATCTCCCATGTAACACCCAAACAAACACTGCTTCTGTGAAGGTGTGGGCTATGGAAAGGGTTCTGGGGGCTGTGCTGGATGGTCAGCTCCACAGAATCATATTCACAGAATAGTTACAGTTGGAAAGGACCTTAAGATAATCTAGTTCAAACCCCTCTGCCATGGGCAGGAACGCCTCACCCTAAACCATGTTGCCCAAGGCTCTGTCCAGTCTGGCCTTGAACACTGCCATGGATGGAACATTTACCACTACTTTGGACAACGTGTTCTAGCACCTCACCACCCCCACAGTAAAGAACTTCTTCCTTATATCTAACCTGAACTTCCACTGTTTTAGTTTGAACACCTTACCCCTTGTCCTGGTGCTACAGTCCTTGATGAGGAGTGTCTTTCCAGCATCCCTGTATGCCTGGGCCAGCAGTGAGTGCGTACACACGGGGGAGGCTGGGCTTCACAAGGGCCGGGGCAGAAACGCTGGCCCCTGGGAATGGGTGCTCACCTTGAATCGAAACCCTGGCTGTGAGCGCCTGGGGCAGGGCATGCAGCTGCTGGCACCGGTCCTGGGCACAGGCCTTGCTGCCTCCGAGCTACCTTGTTACGCCTCCTGCCTGTTCCCATCTCCTTGCAGCTATGTCAGGGTCTGATTGGAGAAAACCCCAGTGCTGGACCCTGTTTCAGTTCCTGATCGCAAGAGTGAAATTAAGACACAAACGAGGTCAAGTACCGTAATCAATTGGTAAGTTTATTAAAAAAAGACAGTTATCATAAAAAAGGGAAGTTACTGTAATAAAAGGAATAGCAAAAGGACAGTTTGGAAAAAAGGTAGAAAATGAAGCAAGGATTTGGCGGAGAAGGAGAGAGATAGTCACCATCATGAATCCAGCAGTGTCCTGGGGATCTGTCACTAGTCATCGGTGGTGGGAGTTCTTCAGGGTTCATTGCTGGTATTGGAACAGTGTCCCCCAAGAGTCCGTAGTAGTCGTTGGAGGTAAGTGTCCTCAAGGAGGTGTACTTCTGGAGTCGTCTCCTTGAAGGTACCCTTGGAGGTGTTCTGATGAAGTTGCCTTCATGGCAATGTCTCACAGAGGGTGTCCCTCAGCAGGGACATCTGTGGAGAGTGTCCTCATGGAGGTGTCCTCCTGGAGTTGTCATCATGGTGTTGGAAAAGGGCGAAGTTTTTATGATAAAACAATTGTATAAAATAGTAGAAATGATTATATTCGAGAAATTTATAAATCAATAGTGGGATTTTGTATATTAGAAAATTTTGTAACTTTGCAGTTTTGTATCATGGCTGCTCTGTAACCAGTGTTGCAATGGTAGTCTTAATAGCATAACCATATATGGTGAAAGGTGTACGGGTGGATTTATGGGTGGATTTAGAAAAGTACGTACTGGAGACTATACCCAAGTAGAACCTATGCATGAGGTAGCCAGAAGAGCATACCAGAAGCTGATAAGAAAATGCTAGCATCCACACAAGGGTTGGGATATGTCCCAGTAAGGGAAAGGTGAAGAGGACAACCTGAGGAAGACTTCTTACTTCATCGGAACGACCACCAGAGGACCACCAGAGGACCACCAGAGGGGGCTGCGCAAGCGCAGAAGAGGCTGATGTTGTACCATCTATAATGTGGCAATCCTTAATGCATATGCATTAGCTAATGCTGTAACCCATGCTAAATGTGTATAAATTGCGAACGCGATGTGACGAGGTTGAAACCAGATTTGGGTGCATACCCCTGGTTTCCCAGTGCTGCAATAAAGCACCTCATATAACCATTCCGGTGGTTATGTGTTTGTTCCTATGCTAACAATGGCACTGGCTCCTTTTCATAATTACCTTTTCCCCCTTTTATAATGAGTTGGGGGAAGTACCTACGTTCTTAATATCACATATTACACATTCCTGGTGGACTAGTTTCCCTGGTGTTGCAGCCAGCTCTTCAACTGCATGTATCTGCAACAATTCCCACACCAGTCTTTGAGGTAATGGACAGAAGATTCTTAGCTCTTTCCCACTCCTCCCTCACGCAATGGACGGTAGAGCTCAGCTCCTCACACCCTTTTCCCAGTCAGTAGATATTGGAGTCTTAATCTCAACTCCTCCCACTCATCTCTGAGACAAAAGAAAGGTGGAATTCCATCTCAGCTACTCATACCAATCTTTGAGACAATGGACAGAGGAGTCTGATTTCAGATCAGTCTCTCACAGGCTCCCAGCACTGCTCCCATGGCCACCAGCTCCCTCCCTCAATCCCAGCCCCACTGAATTCCTTCCCTTTCCTGCAGGCCACGGCTGTCACAAACCTCCTTGTCTGGGCTGAGCAAGGGCTCATCCTGAATGCGCACGTGATCAGTCATGCGCTGGATGAACCTACACATGACTGCGTGCAGAACTGTGCCAAGCAGCTCAGCCAGGAAATGGCTCAGCTGCTGCAGGAGCTAGAGCAAAAGAACAAGGAGCAGAGGAGCAAGAAACAAAATTGTGTTGTCTGGAGAGCTCTGCTCTTTGCTGCCTTGTGGCAATGTCAAGGTTGGGCGCTGTGCTTTACTGCTGCTACCACCAGTAATAATAAGGATAAGGGAAATAAGGGAAGAGAAGCAGGCAGCACTGGCCCAGTACTGCCTGGGGCAGCAGTGAGTGTGCACATAGTGGGGAGGCTGGGCTGGATAAGGGCCGGGGCAGAAACGTGGGCCCCTGGGGGTGGGTGCTCACCCTGCATTGCAACCCTGGCTGGGAGCGCCTTGGGCAGGGCACGCTGCTCCTGGCACCACGCCTGGGCGCAGGCCTTGCTGCCTCCCAGCTGCCTCATTCCCTCTCCTGCCTGTCCGCAGCTCTCTGCGGCTCCCATTGGCGCTTCCTCTGCTACCAGCTCCCTTCCTCCTTCCCTCCCTTCCAGCCCCACTGAACTCCTCTTTTCTCCTGCAGGCCATGGGTCTCGCAATGCTCTCACTCCAGGTTCTGGAAAGCGTATTCTTGAACGTGCGCATGGTCAGAGATGAGCTGGATGAAGCCATTTGTGAGCGCATGCACCAGTGTTTGGAGATGATTATCAAGGAGATGGCTCAGATGGTGCAGGAACTGCAGGAGGTCGAGGAGCTGAAGAGAACAGAGCGAACTTGTGTGACCTGGAGTGGCCTGCTCTCTGCTGCCTTGTGGAACTGGAAATTCTGGGTGACCGATGGCTTCCTGCTCCTCCTGATTGTGAGGCTCTGCTGCTGCTTTAGCAAAAGAAGTCCTGAGGTGGGCAGCAGCATCAGCAGTGAAGAGGAGGAAGACAGTGAAGTAGAAGATGCCTCTTTCGTGTCAGATTTGAGCACGTACATTGCAATGCGCAACGAGTGGTCAGCGAACAAACTGTGGGACCATAGCATGTGGGTGCATGCGGCGGTGGAAAACCTCCTCTTTGCTTGCCAAGTGTCCAATTTCTTGTCAAAGGGTTTCTTCCCAGAGCTGGGACCAGCCATGGGAGTGGGCAGCACCTTTGATTGCTGGAGTCCCCAGGAAGACGAGCCTGTCTACCGTTTGCTGGTGCCCCTGAAGCCCCCCCGTGGCCACACCTTCTGCCCGGAGCCAGGCACTGTGGCAAACGAGTCCCGCATCCGTGTGGAGCTGCAGTGCACATGCACTGCTCAGGAGATGGTGGGGCGCATGCTGTGCTTCCTTCACAACCGCAAGGAGCAGCTCAGGGAGAAGCAGAAGCCCAGCCTCCTGCACACCCTCTGCACCGGCTCCTATCTAGATGCGCAGAAAACTGCTCTCTGGTTCCAGGATTTGGTGAGGGAAAACAAGGCAATCTTGCGTCTGTTACGTTCACGTTACTGCCTTCTGACTGTGCTGCCCTCCAGACGCTCCTGCAAAGTGGCAATTCAACATATCTCTGGGATAACCATGCTCGTAGAGATGAACTTTGTCGTGCAGCTGGGCAACTCAGACATCTTCATGAGCAGCCAGGCGAGAGAGGATGTCTTCAGCCCAAGCACAACATGGACGTTGACATGTGCCTGGGCAGAGACAAAGTACTTGTGGCTGATGTTTGAACAGATGCCAGACAACAGCTTGCTCAGCTGCCTGCATCTCTGCACCCGCATAGTGGCGGGCACAGGCTTTTCCAGCTATGTCTTGAAGACGGTGGTGATGCACCTCCTGAGCACCACACCCCTGTCAGGCTGGCGCAGGACACATTTCCTGCTGCGGCTGGGTGACATCATGAGGTACCTGCGCCGCTGCTTGGAGAAGAAACAGCTCAACCACTTCTTCTTTGGGAATGAGCAGATTCCTGAGGAGATCGTCTTGCCCCCAGCCTTGGAAAGAGCCAAGCCCTTCAACCTCTTCCAGCATCTGGCGCAGGATCCGGCTGCCCACGAGCAGGCAATGCGTGAGTTCGAGGAGCTGCAACATCGGCTTACAGCACAGCTCTTCTTCTAGGGGCACTGAAAGTGGTCTTCATGCAGAGAGCCGTGTTTACAGGGTTCACAGATGAGGACCACCTCATGCAGGAGGGAGATGAAGGACAGAGTGCAGGACGCTGCAAGGAAAGGAAGAACCTCGTGCAGTGGACCTCTGCCAAGAGCGGCAGCATTCTCTTCTGGATGGTTTTGAGATTGCAGCCGTTGTCGACTGCAGTGGCGACAAGGATGTCTTTCCCTGTGCTTCCTTCTCTCACCGGCTGCAGCCAGAATGGCATTTCACATGGGCCAAAGTCTTGGCGGCAGCTCTGGCTGTGCAGGCACCAAGCGAGAGGCACTGCTGATGTGCCCCTGTGTGTACACTGGGGTCTGGACAGAGAATCTAGGCATGCTGGACCCTTTCTGGGGAGCTGGTGCCCCAGAACTCAGCACTCTGGTCACGGAGAACACGCTGCTCTATTGGCAGTGGGAATTCCTGCCTCACCTTTCCTCCAGGGCAAAAGCACACTCTGGGGAGTGGGACCCAGATGCAGCTGGAGAGCCCACGGGAAAGGATCCTGGCAACAGAGACTCCTGTTGCTACCTGGACAGTGAGCTCCCTTCCTCTTTGAGAGGGTCCAATACCTCTGGGAGCTTTCCCCTGTGCAAAGCAGCCAAAAAATCTCTCATGTTACACCCAAACAAACACTGCTTCTGTGAGGATTTAGGTTATGGAAAGGGCTCTGGGGGCTGTGCTTGATCGCTTGATGGTCATCTCCATAGGCATCAGCACTGGCAGCCAGGCCAGCTGTCTCCTGAGGTGCACTGGGCACAGTGCTGCGGGCCGGCTGACAAAAGGGACTGGCCTGCCGTACTCAGCACTGGTGCAGCCTTGCCCCGAGTACTGCGAGCAGCTCTGGGTTCCACAGGGGGAGAAGGATCTAAGGATTACTACATGTCCAGAGGAGGGCAACAAAGATGGTGAAAGGACTAGCCGTTCTTGCCCTGCATCGCGGCCCTGGCTGCGAGCACCTTGGGCAGGACACGCTGCTGCCGCCAGCGGGAACGGCCACCACGGCAGAGCTCCCAGGCCTGGCCCTGGCGCTGAGGCGAGAGCTCACCCGCCCGCCTGCTGTCCCCGCTAACGGCCGCCCCACGCGCCCTGCGGCCGGGTTTCCCCGCTCAAGGAGGGGCCGTCCCTCCTGGCTCCGCCCCCTGGGAGTCCCTGCCCGCCTCAGCTGAGCTGCCGGCTCCTGGGCAGGTCCTGGCGGGCACTTGAGGCTCCCTCGGTGGCTCTCCCCGCTCTGAGGTGAGGCTCCTGGACGCTGAGCTTCCCCCGCTCAGGTGTTGAAGGCGTCCTCTCTGGGGCTGCTCACCTCAGTCAGTGTTACTCACCTCGGCAACGTATGTATGCAATCAAGTACAAAGCGGAGCATCACAAGTGATCAGAACCCTAACCCTAACCCAATTCCCTTGATTTCTGAGGTGTCTTAAATCAGAGCGATTTTTTGGAGCATGCATCTTCTATGGCTTTTGGTAATATTGGATCCAAAGGTACCCTTCTTGGGTACTGATGATTTTACAGTGCAGTGTTTCGAGAAAGAAAAAAAAAGAACAATCAGGCAATCACTTGATTTCACACTGTTTTATAGCAGTAACAATTTCCCATGCCCACACACAGATCACAGCCTCTAATCAGGGACTTCTCCCATCAAGGAGAAGGAGGGAGGGTTGTTGACCAGCCCATGTTGCTCCAGCCCATGTTGCTCCACCGCATCAGATGCACAAGGGAGAACAGCCTTGAGCCTAGTGATAATGTGTGTGCTTGTCAGAGCCCTCATTAAACCTCCTGATGTCACACTTTATCACTGAAGATCTGGCACTGGAGAAGAAAACATGTTCAGACAACTGTCATTGTGATCTTTTCTATACTTCTTACATATTGAAGATCTCCTTGGGATATATTCACCAGGAAAACAGCGAAGACAGCTGTTTTTCACAGCTGCCCCTTGTTGTCTGCACTAGAGATGCCATGGCTCAATGGACTGCCAGGGACATTTAGTGTTTGGGTCATATGGCAGCAAGAGCCAAATGTGCAACTGCTTTTTGAATGTGGCAAACAGCCCCTTGGCTCCAGCAATGCCAGCCATCACCCCTATGCACTTAGTGCAATCAATCTCTCAGTGTACCTTAATGTCCCCACCAGTTACCTTCAGCTGCAGTCCAGCTAAGAAGTTGTGCTGGCATTTGCCTTCCGTGGTGTTCAGTTCAGCTTTAGTTGACTAAGTCTTGAACATAGCCGCTGAAGTGTGAGAAATGGTCTCTAGATAAAACTTTTCTTGTAAAAGCTCAGGGTAGACACAGCAGTGAAACAGCCACTTATTAATGTTTTTGCAAAAACGGGTGTCCTAGCAAGTAGGCACACACGTCAAACGCAGAACTTTGATTTGTATTTCCTATCCTGTTCGCAAGTTCCCTCCCTTGTTTCTGCATTGGTTGGGTACTCCAAGGTTTACCGCCTATCCGAAGCATATCATCTATGTCTTAACTGTCACCCTTCCCTTACTTGGTTTCATACACCCCTTTGTCTTAGTTATTTATCTCCTTTTATGGTTCAATTTCATGACTCTCTAGCAGACATACAGTACCCCCACCTTACTGTTTAACTACAGAACCAGTTTGCACTGGCTTAGTTTCATAGGTTGTACAAAGATAGCATTCTTTTTAACCACAGAGTGTGTCTGTTGCCCAAACATGACATTGTCTTTAACTACAGAGTGCGTCTGTTTAAGTCATGGTAATCCTTTTTTTGGTTCCCTTAGTAACGTAGCCCCAGCCCCAATATTGCAAAGTCTTAATATTGCAAAGCCTTAAGATTACAAAGCCTTAATATTGCAAAGACCCATCCTCAGTATGGGGAAACAACATTATTTCTCTCACATGAAGTATTTTGGAGACCTCTTTTCTTGACAGGCACCTCATTCCTGTTAGGCAGATCACTTCTGCAATGGCAAGTGTTTTGTTAATCAAACAGTGTTTTGCAATCAAAGTGTTTTGCAATCTCAAAGAAAGTCAATGCTAGACATATTTTTTGTTTATGGAATTAATATTGATCACAGCTGCACCGGTATAAACCCAGTAACATGGCTTGATATGCCACAGTTTTAAGCTGAATTTGGTTCACATTTTCTGTGATTCCCAAGGTCTTTTTTGATCAGGCATTGAGAAAAGGGACAACATTTGAATTGATCTCAATGTGCAGCATGCCCATTTATCTCACTGGTGGCCTGTGAACTTTAAACATACTCTTCATGTAACTGTGGTTGCCCCATGCAAATGCCATCTGCAGCCTGGTTGCAGGCTCACAGGCTGGGGACAAGTGGGAGCTTCCCTGTCCTCCAGCACAGCACTGGCTCCATGACAGTGATGCTCTGCTGCATGTGGGATGATGTTCCCTGGGTGAGCTGTCTGGGCTGTCCAGGGGAATCACCCCATCCCAAATTGCTCCTGCCCCAATATGGTCTGGTCATCTGGGAAGCTGTTGTGAAATCTTCTCTCAAAGGATATACACCTGCTGCTTTGTGTTTGGATTGCAAAATTTCTGTAAGAAATAAGAAGTGATAAGAGAATTAGTACCAAGTGAAATTCCCAGGCCCTTCGCTACCTGGGATATTTTGTAATCCATGCTCCCAGCCGGGCAAGCCAAAACCTGTGGGCCTGCCCTAGTATGGGTAAGGCATTCTGTCTCAGCATGGGCAAGAACAGCACATGGCAGAGCAGGAGGGAGGGAGAGATGCAAGTCTTTGGAGCAGCCAAAGCGTTGCCCAAGATGCCACCAGTCTGCACCATCTTCTGGGCAACTACACGTAGACTTCCCTGCCAGAGTCCAGGGTGTGGGAGGGTTGATTCCACACCTCAGCATTCCACCCACAGCAGGGCCAGGGCTCTCTGCCTCACCACTGCCCCATCTGCTGAACAGGAGGTGGAAGAAGCCACCTTCATACATTTTGTATCCAAACTGCCCTGTTTCCCTGGAGCTGAGAGTCCCTCTGCTCCAGTAAGCCCAATGCTAGTGCATCTCCTCAGTGTCCTCTGGTGCACTCCTTTTGTGTGTGCTCTAAAATGATAGGCCCTTGCTGCATGCCCAGGTGCTTTGAATTGTTTCCTATGCACAGGACAGACAGAATTCTCATCCTGCTGCCACCACAGCCAGTCTTCAGCTTAGCAGGACTTGTAATCTTGGTCTGTAGGCAGTACTTCTGTTGCACAGCTGGAGGAGTGTTTTGCCACCATTCAAATTGTCCTGCACTGAGATACCCTCATTGTGATTTTTGGTTCCTGGGAGCCCTCTCTGTGCCATACATCTCCACGTTAAGATTCAGGAGTTGGATACTCAGCAAACCACCTAGGGCCACATAGACAGCTCAAAGGGCTTTTGCTGTAGTACTGTCCCACCTCCCTTGAGCACTCCCACGGCCTTATTCAGCACCTTTTCTGTGCATGCTCAATGCAAGCCCACAGTGTTCTGTTACCCTCAGCTGAGCCATGGGCTACAGACAACTGCACTTATGGCCTCTGTACACACAGAAGGAAGTTAGGGGAGGGAGTGCAGGGGAGGAGGCAGGCGATCAGGGCGGGACCTGCCGTCCCTCGGTTCCCCGCACGACCGGACCGGGCCGGGTCAGCACCGCTCCCGTCGCGCTATACCCCTTATAACCCTGGGGTTATGAGGCAGGTGACGGGCTCCCTGTGCCGGGCCAGCTCCCGTGGCTGGCAGAGGCGGCTGCCCTGGCCCAGCCCCCCACGGACCCCTGTGATGGCTTCCCCCCGCAGCCTCTCCTCGGCGGCCCCCTCAATCCGCCTCTCGCCCGCCGCCCGCAGCCTCTTCGACGAGCCGCTGGCCATCGCCGTGCAGGGCCTGGGCCCGCGGCAGCCGATCACGCTGCGGACGTCTTTGCGGGACGAGACGGGCGAGCTCTTCCAGGCCTGCGCCCGCTACCAAGCGGGACACGACGGGGAGCTGGACCTCGCCCGCTGCCCCGCGTTGCCGGGAGGCAGCTTCTGCGGCCTGGAGCCCATGGGGCTGCTCTGGGGTTTGCAGCCCCAGAAGCCCTTCTGGCGGCTGGTGAAGCGGGACGTGCAAACTCCCTTCGTCCTGGAGCTGGACGTGTTTGATGGCCACGGGGACCCTCCCGGGCGGCTCCTGGCCCAGGCACAGCACGAGCGGGCGTTCCTGCGGGATGGGGTGCGCAGGGTCCCGGTGCGAGACGGGAGGATCCGGGCAACGCTTTTCCTGCCTCCCGGTGAGTACCGGCCGTGCCGGGCTCCTTCTCCCGCGGGTGCAGCCTCCGCTCTCGGCCCTGTGCTCCCAACGCCGGAGCCAGCCCCGCTCCAGAGTCCCCTTGTGCCCGGAACCACGCAGAGGACAAGGGAGGGGCTGGACCTCACCAGCTGGCACTGGGCAGTCTTCAAGAGCAGCCTAATGAGCCCGACCAGCGTTGATCTGCTAGCCACACTCCTCACCTACCATAACGACACGGGCTAAAACACATTCTTATCTCAACCCACTGTTTTTTTATATTTTTTTTTTTTTTTTATTCCTGATGCTCTTTCCTATCCCTTGGGGATGGGGGGAGTAAGCAGCTGTGTGGTACTTAGTTGCCATCTGGGGTTAAACCAGGACAGCCCTTTTGATGGGAATCAGGGAAGTCTCTTTTGGTGTGGTTCTGCTGCCAGTGCACTGTTGTAGCTGCAGTTGGCACTTGTTCTTCAACCTTCAGCAACCCCACAACAAAAGGGTCCTCTGAGTTATGAGGCAAGGTGGACAGCTGATTAATTTCCTCTGTCTCCAAGGCAGCTATACTAGAAGTCCATCAGTACCCTTTTGGGTCTTTGAAGTACCCTCTCCTGAGATAGTCTATGCCAAGGATGCCAGTCGCAGTGGGGTGCTTTTGCCACTCCATCTCAGGCTGATTTCAGTCTCCAGTACAGTCAGTCAGCTGTTGGTATCCCCCTGCCTCCCTGAAATACAAAAGGGTTCTGCCTCTTGATGGCATTAGGGTACACTGTGCAGCGGTGTCTGCCAGGGCCTTACATGCCTGTGAGTCTGATGAGGCAGACCATCTGACGCACACAGTCCAGTAAACCTGCTGTCCGTTTCCCCCACCTGGCTGGTCACAGGATTCTCCACTTACTTCTTGCAGATATGGGTTAGAATTTCTTTCCATAGGATCATGAGTACGATCTGCCTTTCCACTCTTGTCTGGAAAACTGCCCACTGGAGACTCGAGAAGCAACTTTCCTGGAAGAACACCCATTTGTGATTGGTTTTCCTTGCAATTCACGTACCTGTGCCTCTAGGGTTGAGGCAGGTTTTTCATCCCACTATGCTCTTTGAGTTGCTAGATCAGTTTATCCGCAGCTGAAATGAGGGAGGAAAAGATGTCTTCATATTCCCGGAGTTGGCAAACCACTTCATCCACCGTTGATGGCACTTCATCTCTTCAGCTTACTGCCAGTGAGTTGGCATATGATGACGGCACACTCGATACAAATTCCTGCCACATGCCTTATGTGCACTGGTCTTCATCTGGATCTGTGGGTAACTGTGCACTTCCATGTCATGACAAATCATTTCTAGCATGGCTAATTCCCTCAGGTATTGGATAAATCTCTCTATTGCAGTCCACTTGCCTGGGCACTATAAAACATCTTTCTTGAAGGGATACCTTTCCTTCTCAGCTAGCAGGAGCTACCTCCAGAGGCTGAGGACTTGTGTTCCTCTCCCAATCACCTTCTCAATGCCCCCTTCCCAGCTGCTTGGCTTCCCTATCCTCTAATTCCAGATTGTTAACTCCGTTATCCCAGCATTGGAACAGCCAGGTGATAATGTGCTCACCTGGATGACTGCTGAAATCCTTCACATATCCCTCAGCTTACTCAGGAATACATATTGAGACCTTAACCTATTCTGCCTGTTCCTCTCATTCTTGTGATGGCCCTGCTTCATCTTTCCTCAGTTCATTTATTCTTGTGTATAGGGGTGACTGATACTGGTACAGGCTGATTCTCTGGTTCAGTTGCAGAGTCTGTCACCAGGATGAGAGTAACTGCAGTGCTTGTAATTTTGCTGTCAGATCCAGAGTCCTTCTTTTCCTTTTGAGGGTATTGGAGAGTTGAGAAGGGCTCTGTAGGCATGGGCCAGGCCCCAGGACTTTGCAGTGGTATGTATCTCTCCAGAATTGCCAGTGTGACAGTATACTTTTTCCAAATACTGTACTCCTTTTCCCAGATTCCATACTTGCTCAGGAGTGAAATTCTAAAATGCTGGAGGTGCTCACTGGCCTATGTACTTGCTGATATTGTGCCCGTCCCATCCCTCCCCCCCGCTACTCATAACTATTGAGCCTCGGGGCTGATCTCTGGGCAATATTTTTAAATAGCTGATTACCTTAAACAGACCTCAAGCATATTCAGCAACATGCTGGTTCCTAGTGATAGGGCCATGCTGGTTACAAGGGTATTCAAACACTGTTCAAAATATTTTAAATTCTCAATTGCTCATGTCAGATCTGTTGTTATCTCAACTGTTTGAGCCCCACATTGGGTGCCAAAAAGGACTCTTGAGGTTAAACACCAGTCAGCAACTAAGTACCACACAACCACTCGCTTACTGCCCCTCTGCCCTGGGGGATAAGGAGGAGAACCAGGGGAAAAAAAAGGTAGAAACCTTGCGGGTTGAGATAAGAACAGTTTAATAAAGTAAGCAATAACAATCACAGTAACATTTTTAAAAGGAAATTAAGAGAAAGGAATAAAACAACCAAGGAAAAATCCCCAAGTGTTGCACAACACAATTGCTCACCACTCACTGATTGATACCCATCCTGTCCCCGAGCAGTGCTCTGGCCTTCCAGGTAACTCCCTGCAGTTTGTATACTGGGCATAATGTGCTGTTTTATGGAATACCCCTTTGGCTAGTTCAGGTCAGGTGTCCTGTCTCTGCTCCCTGCTGGCTTCTTGTGCCCATCCTCACTGACAGAGCTAGAGAGACCGAAAAATCCTTATCAGGGTAAGCATTACCTAGCAACAGCTAAACTATCCGTGTGTTATCAGCACTGTTCTCAGACTAAATCGGAAACACAGCACTGCACCAGCTACTAGGAAGAAATTAACTCTTATCTTGGTCAAAACCAGAGCACAAGGGATCCCTTCCATTCACTTCAGCCACAGGTTTCCTGATGTTATCCAGAACATTAGCAAGCTTGCTATTTTGTGTTGTCTTGTTTAATTTTGAAGCAATGTAGCCATTTACTGAAAACTGGCACAGTAATTTAGGACTCTTACGACCATTCTGCTGCTCTAGGTTTTTTTCTTTTATAAAAAGATGCATTCCCAGGCCTATGAATTTAGAATATAAATTAAAAATTGTGGGTTAACATGTGCTGTAGTCTCTTGCAGGAAATGGCCCCTTTCCAGGCATTATTGACTTGTGTGGAGCTGGAGGAGGACTCCTCGAATACAGAGCATGCCTGCTGGCCAACTATGGCTTTGCTGTGCTGGCTCTGGCTTACTATGGCTATGAAGATCTTCCCAAACAGATGAAGGAACTCCACCTGGAATATTTTGAAGAAGCCGTAAACTATATGTTACAACACACCCAGGTTGGTTTGTTCATTGACACTGTCACTAGAGGGAACTCTAGTTAGTCAGGTCCTGTCAGACTGCAGGTGTGGCAGAGCTGCTGTACTTAAAACAGCACCTTCATTCAAGTTGGCTGTAATTAATTTGTTTTATATCTTTAACTCCCATTACAATGGTTCTCTAGTAGATTATTCCAGTTCTTCCTCTTGAACTGGCCAGGTGACACAGTGACACATAGGTCACATACTGGTAACTTCTGCTTCATTCAGCCCAGTGTCATAACCAGGGTGGTAGTTGTCTGGAGGCTTACTGGACTTCCAGTGGGGCTTTTAGGTTTATGCTCTGTAGAATGTCCTTCAGAACTAAACACTCTTTTTAGCTGTGGAGCACAATAGCCTTCTATGATCCAGGTCTCAAGGAAGTCCACCAGTACACATTTATTGCTGTCTATTTTATAAGCTGCTAAAATTACTCCAACTGTTGCTTCTGGTGAGCTACTAAAAACTTTGGGTTTTAGTAGCTAGTTTTGAACTTGGGGATCCTTCTAAGCCAACACCTCCTGGAAGAGAACCCTGCTCAGTTCTGCAACTCCTTCCAGGTAGCTGTGCATGACAGTAACTAGAATTGCACAAGGCAACACCTGGTTTCTCTCTAGGCCTTGAAATAAACACCTTCCTTGACCTCAGAAAGATGAGCAGTTGTTAAAGGTCTTGCTTGCTTTTCAGTTACCCTAACGCTAAGTTTGTGCCACCTGTCTCCCCAAAAAACTCTGAAAAATGCTTCCCACATATTAGTTTTTTTACCCCTGAGAGCAGTACCATAGCCTTCCATTAACACCTCCACTCATGCCCTCACCGTATTTTTAACATGTTGTGAATTTTCAGCTATGTTTTCTAATTTCTCCCCATGTCTCAGTCAGTCGATTTGGAGCCTATTAGGCTGGTGATAAGGTACAGAAGGTATTAAATTTTAATGCTGTCTCAGAGTCCACTTTACCCCTATGGGTCTTTGTATATTGGAGCAGTTATGATATTAGCTAACCTCCTTCCAGTATCCTTAGAGGACTTCAGCAGCCTGTAAGATCATTTAGTCTTCCCATTCTAGTTATTTTTTCTGTGTAAAAGAAAATGAAGGTAAGCTATTCTAGACTGACTCCAGAGGATTGTACAATTCACTTAGAAAAATGGGCTTAGTAGGTTGTATTTTTTTTAAGATACATTTTAATTAGTAAGTTACCTCACATACTTCCCCTTTCACTGTTAGACACCAAGTATACTAGACAAACAGGAGAGGGCTGGAGTCTGCTACCCCATTTTAGCTTCTTAATAGGGGACTCAAAGGCAGTGGTTGAACAAAAGAAATATTCATATAAATATTATCATAATGGATGACAGTATCATTGTCATTGCTGATGCTGTTTTGCACTGATAGGAAGTATTTGTAGAAGAGGCCTCCCCTGCACCTTCCCCCTTCTCCCCTGAACTGCTGTATAAGAAAAATGAATCCAGGGCTGCACATTGTATGCTTTTTACAAGCACAGCTGTACCCTCTGCATATGCTTCAGCACTGAACCTTGTAGATTTGTTGGGGTGATGCTGCAGTCTCAGCACAGTGCTCCAGGGTCCCTCAGACATAGGTGCTGCACACAGGACCTTAGATTCCTGTACCTGGGGTCCAGATTCAGGATAGACATGGCTGTGGACATGGCAACATTTTAAAGAAGTGGTTGTGGTTTCTCTTCTCTCCCTTCCAGGTTAAAGGCCCAGGGATTGGGTTGCTTGGAATTTCCAAAGGGGGCGAACTGTGTATCTCCATGGCCTCCTTTCTAAAGGGTATCACAGCCACTGCCCTTATAAATGGCTCAGTGGCAAATGTGGGCGCAGTGCTCTGCTACAAGGACATCACCATTCCACCCCTTGGTCTCAGCCCAGAACGTGTCAAGATTAGCAAGTCTGGGATTGCTGACATTATTGATGCACTGAACAACCCACTAGAAGGGCCTGACCGCCAAAGCTTCATCCCTCTGGAGAAGGCTGAGTGTCGCTTCTTGTTCATTGTTGGCCAGGATGATCACAACTGGAAAAGTGAATTCTTTGCAGTTGAGGGGAGCAAACGTTTGCAAGCTCACGGGAAGGAAAAGCCTGAGATAGTCTGCTATCCTGGAGCAGGGCACTACATTGAACCCCCTTTTTTCCCAATGTGTGCAGCCTCAATGCACCAGCTGGTTGGCAAGCCTGTGATTTGGGGAGGAGAGCCCAAGGCACACTGTGAGGCACAAGTAGATGCTTGGCAGCAGATCCAAGCTTTCTTCTGCAAACACCTCATGGGCAAGCCATCTGGAACATCCAGTAAGCTGTGATGTGACTTAGGTTACTTTAGAGACGAAAAGTCTGGTGTTTCAGATTTGTTTTGTTATAGAACTCTGAATGAGAACAAAGAACATCAGAGAATAAGTTGCTGGGTTTCTTGGGGGATGATAGTAAGTGAAGGCATGAGGGCTGCTTTCTTTTAACACCCTCCTCTAACATCGGTTAGAGGTCTTAGTGCCATGTTATGTATAGTATTGGATTACAAGCTGTAGATAAATGATGGTGGTAAGGTTGGCTCTGCTTTGAATGTTAATTTAACTGGAAGGTAACTTATTCAAGCTGAGAACTGGGATGAGAATTTGCCTTGGTTTTCTTAGAAGAAACATTATGTTTGCCATTATCCTTACCAGAGCCATCTTTGTGCTCTGTTTTTTCTGGAAGCAGCTGTTCTGTCTTCCTGCCTCCACTAATCTTTCTGTTCTCCCTGGGCACATCGTTGTTCCTTCCTCTTTTCCTATATCACTGAGATGCATCTGCCTTAACACTTAGTATCTAGTATTTCATTCACCAAAAGAAGCAGTACTGTGCCTGCATCTTCAGAGAATACATCTCTCATTTACAGCCAACAACAGTCCATAGCCTAATGTGACCTGGGCACATGCACTAGAAATTAGACATTAATACAGTTTTGGAAGGTTCATAGGCATGAAGAAACAACAGAATTGGACCCGTTAGTAGCTATACATGGAGCTGCTGGTGGGTATCTCCTCAGCAAGGCTGGATATCCCTGCGCAGGTCCACGGCACTGCTGGAGGTCAGTTTCTCCCTGCCTGTACATTCCCTTTATGCCTTCACAGCTGCCTGCTTGTAAGTGCTTGTAAGCACTGATAAAAATAGCAAGTCCGTGAAGCTGGCATGGCAGCTCCACGAGGCAGCTTTGCCTTGCCATGGAGTAGCGAGTTGTGGCCCTGTGTTGCATCTCCATCCCACCAGGCCACACAGGCCACATTCCCTGAGGAATGGGGACCAGCCGAACACTTCCCAACCCCTGCCTGGGGATACCCCATAACTCCTGGCACCGACTGCGAGTCTGAGGCGAGAAGCACTGACTCGCTCGTGGGGTGCTGGTGCGTTGCGCTGTTGGATACAAGTCAGGTTTTAACGGGTCAGTGCCGAGGCGGGTGGATGTGGTCTGGGCTGCTGTTCGTCTTGAGATGAATTCTGCAGGTGTGTTTGTGCGGTTTGCGTTCCCTTTATTTGTAACGGATTAAAATCAAACGTTAGCCAGCGGCTCGCCGCTCAGGATGGACTGGGGGAAGCTCCCGGGGGCGGGAATGGCCGCTGGTGGGGATCGGCCTCTCCCGCCCCGGCTCTGTCCAGGCGGGAGGACCGGGGGTTCTGCTATCGATTGAGGGCGTCTGGAAGGGGCGGTGGCAGCGCTACCGTTTCTGCCGTTGGCGCAGGGCTGCCGCCTACCTGCCGCCATCATGTGGAGAGCTGTCGCTGTCGCGTCGGCCCCGGCGCGGGCCCTGTTCCGCGCCCCTCGGCGACCGGCCGTAAGCGTGGCCGTGTCCCCCGCCGCCGCGCTGGCGGACGAGCGGGTGGAGACGCGGGTGGCGGGGCTGGGCCCTGGGCAGCCGGTGACCCTGCGGGCGGTGGCAGCGGATGAGCGCGGATGCCTCTTCCAGTCGTGCGCGCACTATCGGGCGGACGGCCGCGGCGAGCTGCACCTGGGCACGGACGCTTCGCAGGGCGGGGACTACACCGGCGTGGAGCCCATGGGGCTCTTCTGGAGCCTCGCTCCCGCCGGCATGGAGAGGCCTTACCAGCGGCTCGTTCCCCGCAGCACCGGCACCCCGATGAAGGTGGAGATGTTGGTGCACCAGGGCCATAGCCGGCCCGGCGCCTTCCCCGGGCCCGTGGTGGCCAAGGCCGAGGTGGAGAGGTGGTTTACGGCCCCCGGCGTGCGGAGGATCCGGCTGAAGGAGGGAAGAGTAAGGGGCTCTCTCTTCCTGCCGCCGGGTGAGTGCCCGGCCGGAGGCCTTCGTCCTGTGGCTGGCGGTCCCCTGCTGCCTCTGGCCAGAGCAAGAAAAGTCTTTAAAAAAAACAAGTGCAAAGGGAATCGCCCGGGAAATCCATATTCCATAAGAGATCTGAACGCCACCCTGCATACAGGGTTTTTTTGCTTGAAATCTGACGGAGACGTTTCCGAAGGCTTCTCGGGACGCGGCCCGGCTTTTGTACGGCCACACTGCCTGGTCCTTACCGGCAGCACCGAGCAGGGCAGGGACGGGCAGATGGCTCTTACGGGACAGAAGCTAAATGAGAATGAACAGGAGTTGTGAGTGTACAGTGTAGCTGCTCTTGGGCTATGCTTTTTCAGTAGGTTTGGTGTTTGCTCTGGACTTGCCAGAATCAGTAACACTGAGAAAAGCTAGTACATTTCATTGTGTGAGCCTGTGCTAAATCTCCCAAGGATTTTACCCTGAGTATGATCAAATTGAAAAGGCATTTTTCTTCCTTGTGAAACACATGCCAGTAAGCAGAGCAGTGGAAGAGATTCAAGAAAATACAAGTATTCCTTCTCTGTTACACCAGAGCCAAAGCTCAGTTAATAGTTGAGCTACTTCAGTTGTACTATGGTATAAAGGCAAAATAGATTTCTGAGCAAGTTTTAGCTGTTCTGCTTGTGGGATGGTTGTGCTTTATGAGGTGTGATATTTCGATGGACTGGTAGTGCTGCTGGAAAATGAAACTTTACACTGATGATGCTGTGTGTACACATAAGCCATGATTTAAACTTCTTGCATTTCCCTGAGTGTCATGCTGCTAGAACTGCCCTCCCTATTGCCTCTAATTTGTAGCAGCTTGGTTAAGCAAATCCTGTAAATATCACTACAGTTATTAGGAATTTAAGTATTAGGGAATTATCTCCAAACAAATAATCTTTATCCATTTAGATAAGGATACAAAGTCCACTGAAGAGGGAAAAAAAAAAAAAAAGCAACAACCGAGATTGAACTTTGAATTTTGGTTCAGATGTTTAATCATCATGCTGGGCTTTTCATAACTGAGACGTGGTTGTTGTGATATATCCTCCCTTAGAAGATGGGCTGGATTTCTGCTGAGCTCAGTGGGAATCCAGAGATCTGAAAGATGGAACTGCATTTTTCCCTTCAGAAAGTGTAGTGTTGCAATAGCATGGCAAAATCTGGAATCATTGCTTAAGTGATACTGGCATTCTTGATGGAGGATCCAGTTACAGCGTTGCTACCAAACCTGTCTTTGCTCCTGGAATGGGGAAATGTTAATATTACTCAGATAGGGATGTTAAATGTGAACCACTTTTAGTAAAAGTGAGATGACATGAGAGGGCTTACGCTATGCTTTTGATATGAAAGAGGTTTCTCAATTCAGGCCTAAGAGTTACAGAAAGGTTTTCTTTGGTTTTAAGCAATAGTGAAGTTGACTAGCCCATTTATTCCTTCTTTTGAGGAGCTATGCAGAAACTGTATACCTGGGCAGTCCAAGATCCTTGTGTAAGTTAAAGGTTGTCTTCATGAGAGAGAAGTACATTCATGCTTGACTGTGTTCCGATCACATGCTTGCTAGAAAGCTTTCTGGGTGGGGATGATAAATTAAAGCACTTTTTTTTTCCCTAACCATCTAGCCTGACTGTTGTTAACTAAAGGTTACTGCTGATCATGGCATTATGATAAATTTATCCAGGCATATTTTCTCTCAAGTAGAATATTGAACTTCTGTGGAAAATTACAGAACTGAAAGAAAAAGAGCCCAAAAGCATGTTTAAGTCCTTCTATGACTTCCTAATGCTTTAAGTTAAGAGATTTCCACCATCTAGTATGTCTTGTCCAGAACTTCCTTTTCTTAAACACCTTGAAAAGCCAGAGGTCTTGCCTTTGTTGCACACAGGCAATGCCTGAGTTAATGCATTCTCACACAAGCATGTACTTTTTCTGCCAATATGATTGTAGCAAGCTGGATCCGTGCACATAGGTGGTGTCATCCTGGTGGCCAGGGTTCTTTCATAGTTCCAAGAGGTAGTAGTATCCTTAGCGTTTTAACTCAAGATCTGCTGGCATGGCATACAGTAATATCACAACACAACCTTGGCTGCAAAACCATGTTGATTTCAAGTTGTGGTTCTGATTCTTTCTGTAGGTTTGTGGGACTGATTGTACATGTCTGCACATATTTATCTGTGTATCAGTCACGCACACATAACCATATCCATACAGCTCTCAGTTTTACTCTCTTCACATCTGCAGTAGCAGTTCTGTTGCCAAATGTTACAGTGCTGATGTTGAGATAGAGATATTAAGCCCAGTTGATTTCATAGAGTAACAGGTGTCTCTTTCCTGTGCTTTGCTCAATGCACTTTATTCCAGAGTTTGTGTAAGTTTTGTAGGATTTACTTCCAATGCTCAGTGCTCTTGCCTCATTAGTAATGGGCTTGCACTTTGCTAAATAAGGTATGACTTCTTTGTGGGGAAAAGAGATGATTCAGGGTCTGATTGTTCCGAGGGAGGTAGGTTAAGACCACTGAAAAATGCATTTAAAAAAAAAACCCCAAGTTTAACTGTTCATGTATTTCTTACAGGAAGGTAAGAACCTGTTCATAGTTTGAAAAAGGCTGAAGTGGGCTACAGCACTGGTTCTCTTATATCTGCTGAGCAAATGAAAAAGTAATGAGTATTAATAGAAAATCTCTTAAGCCATCCGTATTTTGTTGTTCACTCTTCACCAGATAGTTTTAGTGTATTGTTTGATAACTTGTCCTCTATACCCCTTCTTTTTAATATAGGGGATGGCCCCTTTCCAGGAGTGATCGACATGTATGGGGATGAAGGGGGTTTGGTTGAATTTAGATCCAGTCTCCTGGCTACCCGTGGCTTTGCTGCTCTTTCGCTGCCATATTTTGACTTTGAAGATCTGCCCAAGGTCATGAAAGAATTCCAGCTTGAGTACTTTGAGGAGGCAGCTAGATTCCTACAGCGTCATCCCAAGGTGAGTGGAATGAGACACCTCAGCAGAAGGGAGGATTCAGCAGTCACGCCAAGTGGTGGCAGTAGTGTTTTTGGAGTGTAAGTTTCTGCTGGGAAGTTTTAGGCCAAATAATGGAAAAAGTATAGGTCCTGCATAGGTTGATATGCATATGACTGCAGAGTGACTTCTAGCATGAGCTGGATATAAATTCATGCTGGAAACTAGATTTCTGATCATTAGAACAGTCAAAAGCAGCATGACCAGCAGTTCAAAGGAGGTGATCCTGCCCCTCTACTCTGCTCTTGTGAGACCTCACTTGGAGTATTGTGTACAGTTCTGGTGTCCTCAACA